AGTGGCTGGTGGGTTTGAACCGCCAGCCTTCTGGTTAGCAGTCAAGTGCTTTAGCCACTATGCTACCAGAGCTCCTGGTTGTCCTTGTAGGCATATGCATATTATCCTATCACTGACAGCACTGTACTTCAGGAACAATCTTGAAATGTTCTTTATGCTGATCAATGTAATGTTGTTCTTCAATTTATCATTCTTAGCATAGAAGATCATATGATTATCTGATTAAAAATGGCTAATACCAGTCCATTTCAGCTCCATAATGCCTAGAATGTTGATATTTACCTCCTCCATTTCATTTTGACAACTTCCAATTTTCCTAGATTCATACTTTGTACATTCCATGTCACAATTATTAATGAATATTTGCAGCTGTTTCTCCCTATTTTCAGCCATGCCCCATAAGGAAATGAAGGTCCTGAAAGTTTTACTCCATCTATGTCATTAAGGTTGACTCTATTTTGGGGAGACATCTCTTCCCCAGTCGTACTTTGAATGCCTTTCAACCTAAGAGGCTCATTTTAAGGCACTATATTAGATAACATTTCATGGTTATCCATAAAGTTTTCCAGTAATATATCAGACAGAGTTTCACTGATATTCATAAAGTTTTCAGTGGCCTGTTTTTTCTTCAGAAGTGGTGGCCTTATCCTTCTTGCCAGTCTGTTTTTGTCTGGAAGCTCCCTGAAACTTGTCCATCATGGATGACCCTGCTGGCATTTGAAATACTAGTGACATAGCCTCCAGCTCACAGCAACACATAAGCCACCACAGTACAACTAACTGATAAAAGAGTGGTGGAAAAACTATCTAATAGTGGCTCACTATATAACTTACTACAAAATTAAATAAATGTTTTAAAAAGAAAACCTTGATGATTGAGGGAAAAAATTACTGTAATATGATTGGATGGTAGTATCTACTTTATTTACTTCTCATTACATCATTTACTTTTATCGGTGGACTTTTAATAGAAGTTCTGATAGAAAAACAAGAAATTCAACTGTTTTAGTGGCTGTATAAACAAAGTTAATTTCACTTGCGTTTCTGCCTAAGGGATAATTGGTTGGCCACTGGAGAAGCTTACTTTAAGACATGGAGGACTAACAACATTTCTGGAAGACAGAAATGAGCTCAGACAAGAGATAGAAATGTTTTTTAAAGTTAATTATGTTTGCTTTTCCTTCTCCATTGGTGTTCATTACCTTTGAATGGAGCCACACAGTGGCAGAAGTAATTACCAGGCTGGTCAACGCAGGTGGCACCATTCTTGCAGGGATGTGAAGCACAGTCATCTATTTCATATCTTGTACCTTTGAAAAATAATAACAAAAAATATTTTAAGTTTTAACAAGGCAAGCAGGTGTCAGGTTATAATTCTTAAAACTGCTCAAGTATGCTGGTCCAATTTGGATAAGATCTGAGACTTAATTCATTAATAAGAATGCCACATATATTAATGTCATAGGCCATTTGTTTCACCTTACAACTGTAACATTTTTTTCTTGGAATTATTAATATACATGAATCTGTGAGTTTGTAAACATTCAAAATCTGCTTAAATGTGAACTAATTTATCTTTTTTTCCTTGCAGTCTAGAAATGGAATATGTGTCTCAAATTGTTGTTGTTGAGTCGTCCAGTCAGTTCTGACAAAACCAAAGGGTTTGTACAACAGAATGAAACACTGCCTACTGTCTCAGATTACTGGGATGCAAATAAAATGTTAGGCTAAGGGAAATAAAAAAACACTAGTGAATCAATAACATCCTGTTTGTTGCATGTCCCTTGGTTAAATGTACTTTACAAGCCACAGTTGTCTAATTCTACATATCAATCAAGTTAAGGGGACAGATGCATTTAACTCTATCCATGAGTTCGGTAGGTATGGAGTTATGGTGACAGGGTGATGAATCATAGTCCTTTCTATCAATTTCACCAATTAGGCCTATATGAAAAGAGAGGAAAATAAAAAAGGTCATTAACTATATAATCTTAACTTCTTTCTTTCTTTCTTTCTTTTTTTTTTTTTACTAGTTCTTCAGTTCAGATTATCCATTATTTATGTAGAATTTGGATTGCTAATGCTGACTTTAAGGAGACCTGATGGTGGAGTGGTTAAAGTTTCAGCTAATAACCAAAAGGCCAGTTGTTCAAACTTACCAGTGGCTCCATGAGACAAAGATGTGGCAGTCTGCTTCCATAAAGATTTATTGCCCTGGAAAACCTATGTGGCCGTTCTATTCTGTTGGGGTTGGAATTGACTGAAGCCAGTGTATTTGGTTTGGAATGCTGATCTCTGATATTATATCATTTTGATTACTTGTTAACTCAACAACAACTGAAAAGCATAGCCATAATTGACACTGAATTGATTCTTATGAATTATGACAACTAATTTTATCACCATTTTACAACAATAGGAAAATACCAATAACACCTGATACATTGCATTCATAGATTTTATCAATTGAAATCTTCCTTTTACTTTTAAGAAGAAACTTTCTCTGTAGTGTTGAAATAAATCTAGACTGAAGAAAAAAATATAATTGTTATCTACA